GGGAGAGGGTTTATTAAGGTAGAATCTATAGCACTGAAGTAAAGCAGGGTAGGGCTGATATACGTTCTTTCCCACCTGAGAGATGGGGAAAGGATACAATACCCATTACAGAAATGTGAAAATCAGAAGAAGGAGCTGTTGAACGAATATACTTTTTAAAGATGTCTTCAAGCCAGAGGTAGAGATTCCTTCCTGGGGTTTAAGAAAGGTAGAAAGTATAGATGAAAAATTTGGTCATCCTCTATCATAGGGGTAATATTTGGATCTATGGGAGTGTTGTGATCACCGGAAGGAGAGGAAAATAAAAAGAGGAGAGGTTTTAAAGGGAACTTTAAATCTGTCTTCCATTTACTGGGTAACAGGGTTTTGGGTGTGGAGGTATTTCCGTTCCACGTTGTGTTGGATCAGTGATGGTTTCTCCGGGGGCTTGTCTGCTGGGGCCGCCCAGTGTGTCTTTACAGAAGGATGTGCAGTAGAGGGAGCTTGGTGGGAAGGGTTGGAGAGCATGATTCTGTTTTCACTTTGCCTGTGTCTTGGCCTTGGACATATTACTTAGCAGTGAACCTTAGCTGCCTTCTGTGTAAACGGAAAATAAGGTTATAGGATTGAAGGTGGAAAAGAGCTTTATACAAATCAAGATCGGTATTGAGCCAGTCAGTTAACCACTTAGATATCATCATGAAGGTGGGATTAACTCCATGGGAGGAATGATTCCACAAAGATAAGAATTTTTTGTTCTACTGCACCTGGGCTTTTTGAACTAAAAACATCTTGGGTAGGAAATCATATTCTCATTCCCTAATTAGTGTTTTGTGTTTTAGCCATACTTTCACTATGAAAATATGAGAAATTTGATACACTTATTGAATTCATTGCTGTTTTGCCGAGCTAGCCCTTTTCAGTGGTTATGAGTCACTTTGAGCCTTTGATTTCTTATCTAGAAAATGGGGATAATGATTCCTAGTCTCACTAATTCAGAGGGCTAATGAGAGGATTAAATGAGATGTCGAATGTAAAGCATTTCATGAACTGAGAACTCTGTGATTACTACTGTCCCCTGGGTTTGTGGTGTGTTGACAGTGATGGTCCGTCGTTCAACTTCATCTGCCATTGCTACCCTTCTGCTGCCAGCACATTTATCTTGCATAGAAAAACAATATACAGTGTGCTTCATGCGATCCGTCCTGTGAACTAATGCTTAGTTACTGGCACACACAAGTTGAGTGCTTATTTGCTTATCCCAGCACACACACCCTTTGTTGCCAGCCAGTATTTCTGACTCACAGACTTGCCTTTTAAACTATGAAAAACTGCAGTACTTGTTTTAACAATTAGTGTAAATTTTTGACTAAAGCACATATAACTGTGGACAGTCCATCTCCCTGCCCCCTCCACCCTCTCCTTTATGCTATTCCTCTGTCCCTCCCATTTTTCTCTTACAATCTCAGGATAAGGTATAAGACTCACACTCCACAGAATAAGAGTAGGTAAGGAGTTTCTGGTGTCTGCATATCAGGTTTGGGTGGGAGGAATTGTAGGAGCTGTACTTTTTTTTTTTTTTTTCCCCCCCCCCCGGTACGCGGGCCTCTCACTGTTGTGGCCTCTCCCGTTGCGGAGCACAGGTTCCGGACGCGCAGGCTCAGCGGCCATGGCTCACGGGCCCAGCCGCTCCGCGGCATGTGGGATCTTCCCGGACTGGGGCACGAGCCCGCGTCCCCTGCATCGGCAGGCGGACTCTCAACCACTGCGCCACCAGGGAAGCCCAATCATTTGATTTTTGACAAAGGTACCAAGACAATTTAATGGAGGGAAGAACAGTCTTTTCAACAAATAGTTCTGGAACAGCTTGGTATCCACATGCAAAAGGATTAATTTGGATCTCTCTCTCACACCAAAGTTAACCAAAATCGATCAAAGACCTAGTGTAAGAGCTAAAACTAAAACTCTTAGAAGCATGCATAGGCATACATCTTCATAATTTTGGGTTAGTCAGCGGTTCCCTAGATATGACACCAAAAGCACAAGCAACCAAAGAAAACAAGATAAATTGGATTTCCTCGAAGAATAAATGATAAATTAGGCTCCATCATAATTGAAAACTATTGTACTTCAAAGAACATTATCAAGACAGTGAAAAGACAGCCCACAGAATGGGAAAAAAATGTTTTGCAGATCATATATCTGATAAGCATCTGGTATCAAGAATATATAAAGAACTCTTACAACTTAAAGAGACAAACAACCTGATTAAAAAGTAGGCAGAGGAATTTAATAGACATTTCTCCAAAGAAGATTGCCAATAAACACAAGAAAATGATGTTTAACATATTTAGTCATTAGGGAAATGCCATAATAAAAGCGACAATGATAAAGCACTTCACACCCACTAGGATGACTATAATAAAAAAGGCCGGCAATGAAAAGTCTTGGTGAGGATGTAGAGAAATTGAGAACCTCTTACCATGCTGATGGGAGTGTAAAATGGCACAGCTGCTTTGGACAAGACTAGCAATTTCACAAATGGTTACGCATAAGTTACCATATGACGCAGCAATTCTACCCCTAGGTATAGTGGACCATTGAACAACATGGGTTTGAACTGTGTGGGTCCACTTAACATGCGGATTTCTTTCACTAAATACACACTGCAGTCCACTACATGATCTGAGGTTGAATCCTTGGATGTGGAACTGTGGATATGGAGGGTGGATTGTAAAGTTTCAGGTGGATTTTCAGCTGTGGGGAGGGTCTAACCCCTGTCTTGTTTGAAGGTCTGTTGTATACCCAAGAGAAATGAAAACACGTCAGTGCAAAAACTTGTGCAGTTGGTCATTGCAGCCAAAAAGTGGAAACTGCCCGGGTCTGTTAATTGGTAAATGGTTAAAACTAAATGTGATGTGTCTTTACAATGGAATATTATTCAACAATAAAAAGGAATAATGTGATACATGCAACAACGTGTTTGATGAACCTTGAAAATATATGCTAAGTGTAAGAAGCCAGGCACACGAGACCACGTACTGTGATTCCATCTGTATGCCATGCTCAGAATACACAAATCCAGAGACAGGAGAGTACATTAATGGTTCCCAGGGGCTGGGGAGGGAGGAACTGGGGAAGGGACTGCTAATGGGTATGGGGTTTCTTTGGGGGTCGATGAAAATGTTTTGGAGTTTGATAATGGTGATGGTGGCACAACCATGTTAATATGCTAAAAACCATTGAATTGTACATTTTAAAATGGTGAATTTTATGATAGGTGAATTGTATCTCAATAAAAAAGATAATTGATCAACAACAAAGGAGAAGTCACCCCAGATCCCACTGCCCAGGGACAGCCACAGCTCCTGTCGATTGAGCAGTTTACCAAATGTGGACTCGGTGCTAGGCACGTAAGCCCTTTATTTATTTATTCCTCACAGTGGCTTTATCAGTCTTCTGTCAGGCCTGAGCCCCCTGACCCCCCCAGTGCTCTTCCCTCTACCTCACTGTGCCTATTTTTACAAAGAATTTTGAGTGAAGAGAGAGCTTGCTGATTTGGAGTATCGTTAAAATACTGTTTTATAGAGTTAGATGCTTTACTCACACTGTTGACTAAAATATATTTGTGGTGTGGTTCAGTTAGCAGTCAGCACTCAAGCTTAAAGGAAGTCAAAAACTTGAGAAAAGGGTTAAATCTCTGAAGTTACGTTTTTAGTACCAAGGATTTTATGTTCATCTTTCCCCCCCAGAGATTATAAGAAAGAAACAAGTAAAATTAGAAACTTCCTTAAGTGGCCATTCATCTCGGCCTTTGTAATGCTGGGGTAGAAAAGCTGGTTGGATTTTGTTTCCATAAAATACTAGTCATCAGAATATGCTACGGTCCAGTGCTTTTCTATGAAAGTAGAGAGTTTTAAAGTAGAAGGCATCGAGAATACACGCTAGCATGGAAAACTGTTAGCAGTGGTTATTTTTTATTTTTTTCCTCTGGTACGCGGGCCTCTCACTGTTGTGGCCTCTCACGTTGCGGAGCACAGGCTTCGGATGTGCAGGCTCAGTGGCCATGGCTCACGGGCCCAGCCGCTCTGCGGCACGCGGGATCCTCCCAGACCGGAGCATGAACCCATGTCCCCTGCATCGGCAGGCAGACTCTCAACCACTGTGCCACCAGGGAAGCCCAGTGGTTAGTTTTGTTTATGAAATACTCTTTAACATTTCAGAGCAACCAGTCGTGGTTTCAGGAGTTTTATCTCCTGTGTTCTCCTTTATTGACTGTTTGTTCTATATTAGTGGATGTCTAAAACTTACAACTCCTTGCAAAAACAAGCAAAACTTGGTTAGTAATTTTTTTTTTTTAGGAGAGTTATTCAGACTTTTTAATGGCTTTGACATGAAAACACTGTATTTTTTAAAATCTTGAATTTAAGATACTGGTGCTCTGGCTTTTCATCTTGCATTGTGTAATTAAAGAAAATTTATTAATTTTCTGTGAAAGTTTATTATTTCTAGAAACTTACTGAATAGTTTGGTCCTGAGAAGTTTTTACCAAAGTGTAGGTGATTTAGTAAATCCTGCCATTTACTGTCTTGCTTTCTGATTGAAGCAAACTTGTTTTTAGTAAATATCAGCATTGAGGTGTGAACGTCCAGGTAAATAGCAAGGTGTATTCTTTCTTCCCCAGAAAAATGCTCTCAAAAACTTGAGTTTAATACAATAAACACTCTACTTAGATATCATAATCTCATTATAAATTTGATGTAGATGGACCAAGCTTGAATTCTCAATTCCATGAAGGCAGAAACTGTTTTTGCCATTCTGTAGAATCCCAGAGTCTATCTTTATGCCGTGTCCATACTAAATGCTTGATAAATGTTTGTTATATAAATTGTAATCACATATACGTTTAAATTACACATACTGTTTCGTAACACACACACCCCACACACAATTAACTGAAATGTTCTCAACTGATAATACTGTGTGTCATAATTTCTCTTAATGTTTTTATTTCTCTTTAGGTTGGTATTTTGTTTGGCATCTTTTTTTATCAAAATTCAAGTTTCTTCGGGAACTGGTGGGAGACACAGGATCTCAGGAGGGAGATCATGAACCTTCAGGGTCTGAAACAGAAGAAGATGCTTCATCATCTCCACACAGGATCAGATCTGCTCGCCAAAGGAGGGCACCTGTTGATGAAGGCCACTGACCTGAGCCATGGTCCTCTGATAGTGAATGACAAAGCACACTGGGAGTCTCTCTCTGTAATGACTTGGCTTTGCAATCTGCTAAAAGATTGAAGAACATTCATTCTTGGATCTTAAGTCCAATTCAAAAAAAGATTTACGTGTAAGCCATATGAAAATAAAGGGAATTACAACCAAATCGGACCATTGCAGATTTCATCGTAAAGGTCATTTTTGCTTATATACTTCTACATATATACTTACTCTTTGACTCTTGGGCTTATCTTCTTGCACTGGTGTTAATCTGGTAAATATTACAGGCTTGAAAAACCATATTTTATTAATATTAGTTCTATGTTGTACTTTTTTTCCCCCCACATTATACCTTGTCTGAAATCGGGATGCATTTTACGATTACTGTCAACCAGGCAATAGTCATGGTGCAATTATCCTCGCCTGTGCCTGTGTGGACTTAAGGTTTGTCCTGTTGTTGGTATCAAATGTGTCAGGTTTAATTGGCTTTTAAAAATGTCTTCAAAAAGATTACACTATGATTCAGCATTGAAACGAAAAGTTATCGTGTATGCAGAAAAGCATGGTAACAGAGCAGCAGGGCGCACGTTCGATATTAGTGAAGCAAATATCCGTCGCTGGAGGAATGACCGAAATTCCATATTTTCTTGTAAAGCAACAACAAAATGCTTTACGGGACCTAAGAAAGGAAGATACCCACAAGTAGACGAAGCTGTGCTACATTTTGTCAGTGAGACATGTGCAAAAGGACTGCCTGTCACACGCCAGGCGATGCAGCTGAAGGCAGGAGAAATTGCCAAAACCCTTGGAATAGATGAAACAAAATTCAAAGCAACAAGAGGCTGGTGTGATCGATTCATGCATCGAGCAGGACTGTCGTTAAGGTGTCAAACATCTTTTGGTCCAACGCTTCCTGTTGATATTAAACCGCAGGCAGTGCTGGAGTGCTGTTTTAAGAGATGCTGCATTGCTGGCGCTCTTAATGATGCCAAGAGTGCTGTGGTCTGGGAGAATGCAGACACCGATGGCTGTGATTTGAGTGATTCAGAGGAGTTAGACTCAAGACTATGAAGTTATAGTCATAACTTAACCAACTTATTTCATCATACACTTTCTTTATGTATGCACAAGATTGACGCGATAAAGATCTGTTTAACTCTAAAAGCTGTCTGAGTAAATTAAAAAAGTAGACGTTCTACAGGATACACAAGCATTGTGTCATAGTTTAATTGCCTATGTGTTTTCTTAGTGATACATGTGGTGCGTCTTACAATTGATGGCATCTTAGGTTAGGAAAAAAAATAGTCTGTAAATTTATTTTTCTTTCTAGGATAGCAATTATTTATTGGGGACCTTAATTCTGACTCTTAGAATGTTGTTAAAATAGTTATCCTCTGTGAGATACATTTTGGAGCACCCTATTCAAGATTTTAGAGTAGTAACTTGGGAATCTAGGCCCTATCCTCTGCTTTAGGAAGAGTAGGATTAGTCGCTCCTTTTGTATGGGAGGACTTCATGCTCAAGGCATGTGTTGTGGAGAAAATACTTCACAAACAGCAATTCAGTGACAAGACCTCAGAGGTACTGGGTATTGAGGAAAAAATAGAGAGTGGGTGAAAATGCCTGCTTTGCTGTCAGATGATTCTTGCCAGGTTCCCACGTTTGTCTTCACTGAACTTTGGACTGCCTGTTGCCTGGGGAAGGGAGATATGGATTAAAGAACCTTCCCGTTTAGTGTTGCCTGCTTTATACAAGCATGAAATGCGAAGCCAAGTTATTTTATTAATCCAAGTTCTTTTTACGTTTTAAACCTTTGTTTCTCAAGAACTAGTCATTACAGAATATCACCTCTATTTTATGATGGTGTGTAATTTTGTTTGATACCTCATACTTCATGCTGATAGTTTTGTTTATTAACAGTTCATCTGCTCTGCCCTAAGGTGGTGAACACCTCTGCTGTCATTGTAGCCCTTTGGATGTACTAAAAGGGAATTTACAGAGTATAACTTTACTTTTAAGTATTTGCTAAGGAGAGGTCCCCAGCAGCTGAGAGTGGGGCACAGTCCTTGTCTTTATTTCCTTAGTGGATGCAGTTTTCTGTTTTTTCTGTAACTATATTGATTAACAAAACAGTGACACAAGTTTCAAGCATTAATGCTTCATACTAGCTAAATATCACATTGAAATGCTCATCAGTTAGAAAGAACTTTAATGCTTCTTGGTGCTGGGAGGATATTTGAATTAGATCTTTTGCAGTCTGATATTTGGAGCTGTGGATTCCGCTTGGTAGTGGGTACATTAGGTTTAGGTAATGGTTGCTGACACACTTTAAGTAGCTGGTAAACTTCCTCTTGTGTCAGTATTAAGAATGATGGCCGATATAACCCCTAAAATCTGCAAGGGTCATCCACAAATTAATCCCTGAAAGATGTACATGTTGGTATTATTTATTAATATTTATGCTTTTATGGATGTCTTTTTAAAATAGAATTGTATGAAATGTTCTGCTTAACTTGCTTGGGAAATATAACCAAAGCATGTTAATAGCTCACACTCTACCATGTTTTAACTCTTAGGAAAGTGAAATCACTGCTGCCAATATGAGAATTCTACAAACGAATTCCTTTGTTTAAAACGTTTTTTCCCCCCAGTACACTCGCCATAGTACATATTTCTAAGGCCACTGAGAGAGGCAGGAGAAATAGTTGTTAACACAGAATTATTTGTGTGATATAGTGTTTTTTCCTGTTTTAGTGCTTTTGTAGCTGAACTTCCAGAACTCATCTTAAGTGCATTTTCAGTTTCTTAGTAGGAGACGGAGTAGCCTGTGGTCAGTTTTAAAGTTTAGAGGGTCCTGAGCATTAAAAACACAAGTATTAGTCTTGTTTGAATCCTTACAAACAGTGATGGTGAACAAGGACGTCATCGTTTGAGGATTAATTCTAAAATGAGGATTCTGGTGGGTGCTTTTCCTTCCCAGCCAACCATTTCCAAATCTTTTTCTTCTTTTGCTTCTGAAACTTTTGTGAAGATTGCCTGTATCAAATTTATTGGTAGCATTGCTCTGATTTCAAGGCCAAAAAACGCTAAGTATTTGTGTGACATTGTTAAATAAGGTTTTTAATATTTACATAAAGCTAAAAATAGAATTCATCCAGTGGATTTTTGTAGTGATGTTTTCATGGTGGAAACATAAATACATCATTTTGTGGTGGATAGCCAATTTATAGACATGCTGACCCATTTCTTCAGATGTTATCAGATTTAAAAACAACTTCGAAATGTTATTTTGCTGAAAGTTGGGAATATGTTAAGTAACGGATTCACAAAATAGGGCATTTTAAACCAAACTGTTGAAAGGTTTGAAAGTAGTGCATTTTTACTTTTAAGAGCAACAGTTTTTGAAATTATTTTAAGTCAACAATGCAGTATTTTTTAAAGTCAGTTTTTCTTAAAAGGTATGTTTTAATGTGACATGTAACCAATGTAACTTTAGCTTTTGACTGGTAAACTTCAAGTGCTTTTATATTTCAGGTTGACTTTAAAAAGCCAATGAGCAGTACTCAGAGGTTATGGATCCTTAAGCAATTAATGGAATAGTATTTTGTTATGGAGTCTAGGATTATTGTCTGCCTTTAAAGTATTCTATAGTTTTTAACTTAAAGCATAAAGAGTAACATTTTATCTTATATTAATTTAAAAAGTTGCATTTTGCATTTGTTAATATACATGTGTCGCCTGTTTCATGACCAGTGTTTACCCCTCTCAGTCAGTTCTATGCATAACCATTCACCAAATACTGCTGCTCTGATTTCTTAGAGGAAACATTCTGTGCTATGCTATGATGTATTGTCATCTTGCTGCTTGACAAATAGGTTTATAAGGAATTAGAACTCTGTGTGTTAATAGTACCTTTGTATAACGAGATGTAAAATTAGAGATGAGTCTGTGTAAACGATTATTCACTGTTCTAAAACTGGTCAGCACTGTATCTAAAGCTTCTGTGGTTTGTATGATGCTTCACTTTACACAGAATAAATTAAAATGAAAACAAAAGTTGTGTTTGTTTCATTGATAAAGAATAAGAAGCATGAAAGGGTACCTTGGACTTGAGGGATTGGAAACCAGCCACTTTTACCAGTGGTTCACCCTTCACCTCATTTGTCAAACTCTAAACATCTATAAGAATTAAGACAACATCTCAGTAGTATTCCTAGTGCCATGAAAGTAATTGACTTGGAACCTAAGGGCACATAGCATTAGAGCTAATTTACACTTCATGGTTAGCCTTTTTTCTTCTCACGCTTTATCCAGTACCTTCAAGATTGTTTTGCAAATCTGTTTACCATAGATCATGTCTCACATTTTGTTAGTATTAACCACCAGGAAGACTGAGTGAGGGAATGGACCAAAGCCAAGTGAAAGGATGGAGGGATGCCTTGGAACCCATTTGCAATAGGAAACCATGAATTGCAGTGGCTGAGTGCCAAGTACTGATTTTTCTTCTGCAGTCCTCGGCTGCCAAGAATGTAGAATGGAAAAAGTGGACTGTGTCAGGGTCAGGCTTTGTCAGGTAGGAGTGTCCAAAGGGCACGGTCACTTGAGATTGCCGGAAACTGGCCGTGGGGTTTGGGCTGGGTTGCGAGAGAAGTCGGATCAGTAAGGCACTGATAAATGGGGCGAATGGAAAGGGATAGAGACTGAAGATAATAAAATGCATGTGCCATAATGTATATAGTGGATAGAGTAGGAAGTTTGGGGTGGAGACTAGGACTTTAGAGGTGAAGCAACCACAGCAAAGGGGAATCTGAGAACTGTGACACATTCTAGGGCGTCATGTGGATTGTCATCATGGCCACTAATAGTTCTGCATCGTGGCCGGAGTTGGGACGGAGAAGACGACCATGCCCTGGGGGACCAGGTCGGTCGGGGACTTGGAGGACTGATCTGAAGGTCTGGGATGTCAGGTGGCCCTTAAAAGGAGGAAGGA